GTATGTGCAGGTTGTCACCAGAAGGACGGCTTCTAGATGCTCAACCTAAATCTTTGTTTAAGATGTCACGACTTTGTGACATTACAACTAATTTGTTTGTGGGTCCTCCTGTGCACAAACACTCAGAATGGGCTTTTCAGTGAAACAGAATAAATGTGGGAATTTTATGTTTAAAAGTTACGCACAATAACCACTTGGTTGTGGTTATGAATTGATGTAGATCCCCTCATCATCTCATATATTAAAGAAACCTCAGTGACATTGTGTTGGAGAAGTTGTGAAAAAATTGGGGATCACATGCATATTTTTTGGGGACTTCCCAATAATTCAGAGATTGTGGGCAAAAACTGACAAAATTATGACCCATTAATATTTTTGTTAGGAGTTATACCTACAGAAATATATAGCACAGATCAGAGATACTGAGGATACTCACAAGGAAATGATAATGGTGAACTGGAAAGATGCAAAACTACCAACTATTATCCAGTGGATGCAGAGACTCAGAGTGGTGTACACGATGGAACGAATCAGCCTGCAACTGAAAATGGAAACTTCTACACAAAGGTGGACTCAAGTTCTGGGGATCTAATTGAATAATGGAATATCACTCAAAATGCCATTGTTGTGTTTCTCTGTCACTTTACTTGCTCTGTTGTAAACGCAGAAAAGAATTGATGCAGATGTTTTGGCTTAAAATGCCTGGTTTGGTCGCTACAAATATGGCTGCAAATGACCTGACGCATTTTTAAAACGTGGGGGGTGGGTTTCAAACCAGCAACCCTCTTGCTGTGGGGCGACAATGCTAACCTCTGGCAACCAGCCGGATGCCATTCATAATAATAACAATACGCTAGTACAGCTGATGTGTATGTCTTGAATTCCAACATATTTTTGTGTAAAAATGTCCAAAAAAATTCACTATTATAACTATTATAAAACAAAAGGTATTTAGTAAGGCCCAATCCCAATACTAGCTAGCTAGTTAGCTAACCAGCTAACATTACAAGGCAGCATAGTTATACTAGCTGGCGTGTTATCGTGATGTGAAGAATTCGACAATTTTGCAGAACAGGACAGATGACAGATGCCAGATAGTGCGAGCTAGCTAGCTTGCTAACAAGCGACGATGGTAACGTTAGCTAGCTGGCTAGCTTTCTGTCAACTCCAATCTAGACATCGTGAATAGCAATAAAAAAAAATTGTTATACCATTCTCTACACAAATACACAGTTATTCAAAAACGGTTTTACAAAAGTTCCATGTTTATTTGCTAAATTATACGTACATGTATGAACTTTTTTCCCTGTCCCTTGCTCGGTAGCCATGGCGACGTCTACCCCTCGCTGGCAAGTCAGCATCTGAAATCCCTCGCTCCGAAGGGCTAGTTTCATTCCCACTACCCCTCGTTATGCCCCCTACCCCTACACGCAAAAATGAACTGGGACACCCCTACCCCTCACGGGAACATGCAAATCTAGGGGTAGGGCCAAGGGGTGGGGGGTGAATTTGCTAAAAAGAGGAAAACAACCATTAGTATTTTTTTTCCACATAGTTGATTAGTTTATACAGATTTAAAAGAGAAACTCTCTCAGCTGTTGCCAATATTAACAGTTTTCTCCCAGGTAGGTTGTCTCATGACCAGTGTTACGGCTGTAAGTTCTCTATGCTGCCATCCCTTTTCCCTCTGTTGTAAATCTGCCTAGGTGCTGCATTGCTTAAAGAGGTGCACCTGGCATGGAGGAGGTGCTTAAGGGCTCCTTTGCCAACAGCAGAGGAGAGAGGCCTCTGGTGTGGGGACTGCTTGTCCTGCTGCCTCTCTGCCTGGGATTTTGCGTTGTCTGTTTGTTTTATTTGTTTGAGTGTTTTAAGGTGTCTTATCTAGTTATTTTGGGTCAGTGGAGGAGTTTTGTTCGTCCCATAGGGCCACCCAAGGGTGGGGCATAACAAATGGGGGCACGTCCGGGATAGAACATTTGTGAGGTGAAGTAAATGTAAGTTTTTGTGTGTATCTTGTGGCCTTTGAGTGTAGAGGTCATCTCTTTTGTTAAATTATTTGTGGTTTTTGCGCTATGTTTAGTAGGCCCTAGTTGATTATTTCAGTTTTGAGCAGCCTGACTAGGTTGTCACCAGGCAGGTTTAAAGATCTTACCACTTTGTTATTTTGCCTTTGTTATTTTTGGTGGTAAATTACAGTTGGCTACTTCTTTGGTTTTCGGTTATGCACTGAGTTCAGCGTTTTAAAGCTGCCTCGAGCTCGGCAGTTCACTGAAGACTAGCTAGGTTAGTTAGCTGTCTTGGTAGGCAGGTCAGGGTTGGGGTGCCTTAACAGCTTGCTTCCTAGTTTTGTTGCACTTTGCATTTGATTGTGCTTTCTTTTTGTTTGAGATAACTAGTTTTTGTTTTTTCTTTCACTTTCTTCAACTTGTCTAAAAAAAAAAAAAAAAAAAAAAAAAAAAACAGGACCTGAGCTAAGATCTAGTGGGACGTTGTAATGCTGTCACCGGATGGCTGATGCAGTATAAAGCAATAAAACTGTACAAATAATGTCTCAATGGAGTCTCTGAGCACCTCTCCAAATTTTCTGAGATATTGTTCAATGTGGTAGAAATATCACAGGAGAATAATAAACCTGAGTGATTAAGGAACTATGGTTAGAGATGAATGTGCCTAATAAAGTCAACTTGTCTATTCTGTGTCAGGAATTAGAAAGTGCAATATAAAGTGCTCCTGTCATACAGTCAGCATTTGAATGAAAGGTAAATCAGATTTTATTTCCTGCACTTTATGAGCCAGAACATTGTTTGCTGCTTCATTTCACCTCATGGAGTGAACTCAAGAGAAATGGTTCACATTCACATCTCACCTACTTTCAGGAATCTACAGCTTTTGGTTTAAAGTGAGGACTAAATAAACATATAATATAGGTCCTGTAAAATCACAACTGTGGGTCTTAAGTACAAGTTATTAGCAATATCATAAAAATTAATCAATACAATCACTATTAAGACCACAGTATTTACTAATGATAATCACTAGCTGTTCAAAAGGTGAGTACCACACACTATACAACTATAAAAATACATTTCTGGTAAGCAATACAATCACAAGTCAAAAATACCAATCATTATACTTGAGGTGGGGATACATCTTAATTCTAAAGACCTTACAGCTTCGTTAATATCATTTCATTGACAGAACACCTAATATACACTGCGATTGTCACTACTTCCTGTATAAGCTAACATGCAGGTGAGTGGGGATTATGTAGGTTAAACATGAAGCTTCTTTAGTCAGACAACAGACTTCCAAAGGACTTCCTCAAACTGTGGATGGTCTCAGCATTCATTGTGTCCTCACTGGCAGTGTGGAGAAGAGATGTGTCTCTCAGACCAGCTGGAAGACAAGAGAATTGTGACTTTGTATGTGCGAAGGGTGTCAGGATATTACAGAGCCACTAAAGTCCCAAAAGGTGGTGTTTTAAAAATCTTGTTTACACAACGTATAATCTTGTGGCAACAAGTTATTTTTTGTGTGTACAAGTTAATTATCTTATGGGAACAAATTGAGCATAGTGTTAGTTCAGGCAGGACCTGATGTCAAGCTCAGCTCACATCCCAGCTACATCAGCTGATCTCAAACAGCCCAATCAACTGATGGAACAGCTGATTGATGAAGGGAGTCAGCTGATAGATCACATGATTCCTTTCTATGCAACCAACTGGGGAATCTCATTCAGGGCGCACTATTTTAACTGCTCTGCAACCTGCCTCCACCCCAGCTCCTCCTTTTAATGCTGTGTCTGACTTATCAATGTCATTTCTGTTTGAAATGATGCTGCTCTGTTCTGGTCCTGGGGGGGTCTTTGCTGCTGCTCTCCATGTAGGCGCATGGAAGGGCAGGGAGGTTTGCTCTCTCTGCCTCAGGCTTACCTCGTTTGCATGTGGAAGGGCAGAGAGGTTGTGTTCTCTCTGCCTTAGGCTTTCCACGTAGGCACACAGAAGGGCAGAGAGGTGTAGTCTCTCTGCCTCAGGCTATCTGTGTTTGCAAGTGTAAGGGCAGAGGTGAGCTCTCTCTGCTTTAAAGTTTTCCACGTAAGCGTGTGGAAGGGCAGAGAGGTGTTGTGGCTCCACCTTAGGCTTACCTCATAGGTGGGTGGAAGAGGCTTTCTGCATATGTCTCAGAGAGGCAGAGGGGCCCCTGAACAGAGCCATACCGCCAAATATTATACTGCAAATGGAAATAAAGTTTTCATTGACTGAAGTTAACTGTGTTGAAAGAATAAATGATTATCATAGAGGAACAAATTATTATTTTATGGGAACACGTTACTATCTTTTGAGCACAATTTAATGATCTTGTTGGAACAAGTTGTTATCTTGTGTGCACACAATAATTATCTTGCATGAACAATAAAATGGGCTAATATTTTCCCACAAGATAATTAACGTGAGTGCAGAGTACCAAAAAAAATTCACCTTTCAGGACTTTAGGGGCTCTGCAGGATATATACTCAGTGTTCACTGTATTGACACCTGGATTAACATCCTTTGCAGGAGATTTAAGGGTCGACTTTGGCACAGGCCTTTGTAAAAGAAATCTTTGGGAGTTCTCCTGGGCCCCTTTAAATTTAGCACAAGAGCTAATTATGATATTTATGTATTTAACTAAGAAGAATGATAAATGAAAGATAAGATGTGATGTTAGTATGTTAATATGTAGTTTTGCATGTTCTCACAGATGTATTAATTAACTGATCTGACACAAATACACTAATCCCACATTGTTAACGTGTAAGACAGACACCATAAAATTAAGGCACAAACAAAGCAGAGGGAATACATTATCACAGTACAGATATTGCTTCATGCATTGGAAGGAATGTAATGTGTATATGTGGTATGGCCTCCTCACTTCATTGTATATTTGATAAGGCCTGTACCACTGTAGAGCATACAAGTTACTCACAACATGACGCATATGAGGACACAGACCAAACATATATTGCAAAGGAAGCTTTATTGCCAGTGACAGAGGGGAAATATCCAGAATGGAATCTTTTCCACATTATATTGTACTCTGATCGTGATTTTAAACAGTCCAACACCGGAGTTAAAGTACATATTTACTATCAAGTCACCACGGCCCTTAATAGTTACAGTCCTGCAGGTCTGAAGATATAAGTTTCACCTCAACACAATGGCCAAATAAACACATCCAGTTAGATTTGATCAAATATTCCACCACGACCACTGAACCAAGGTCTAACCATGCAGTGGGGGTTTGGTACCTCTGCACGTTCCTCCCTTGGAAATCAACGCCATGGCATATTTCCTATTGAACAGAACAACACACCCATAAAGCCTCAGGCATGGCTTTCACAAGGACACGCTCACAGATACAATGGCACTTTATACAACTTGGAAAAGAAATTGCACACAGAGCTTGCTGAACATATTTCATACTATAGTAACAAATAAGTTGTTGGAAAAACGGTACAGATTTCTTTTTACAGTTGATTTGGTTGCTTTTTAGCTGTTTCACCATTTAGGGTATTAGATATATGAAATGGCCTCCACAAAAAAAAAGCCGCCGGACACCAACCAAGTGATTGTGACAGCTGTGTAAAAAGGTTTTGAAACGATACATACATTGATGACTATAGCTTTTGGAATTAATTCAATGGAAGATCTTATTTCAAAAAATTAATACAATATTGATTAAGAAGAAAAAACAAAGATCTACATTGCACTTTCCATCAACTCGCAGGAAGAGTGTTAAATCTTTGAATGGCAGTAACACGGGCACGAGTCCACACTAAACCTCAGAGCACTTGCATTGTTGTCATGGCAACAACACCATGATAGCCAATATCCAGTGTGAGGGGAGCGGAGGGGAAGGGGGGGCATTATATCTGGCATTACACGGCAGATCAGACATTATACACGGCTTCATTATCAGCCGTGATGTCTGCCTCCACACAACCGAAAAAGACGACGATTCGAATACAGCATCAGTTCACTGGCGTGTGATTCACAACAGGCAATTTGGAAAACATAAGTATTGTCTCGGAGCGCTGTTCTCTGGTGAAATTACACACTCCATGTGACACACTGCAGTATTAACAGTCCCCTCACTGGTATTTACATTGTGGGTTACTGGAGTGCAAAGACTGTTTCAAAGTAAATTATTCATTCTTTGGTTCAAAATTATATAAATATATTTAAGATGTGTGTGCAGACACCCACACAACATCCTACATGATAAAATCTTTAATAAATCTTTGACTAATTTTTAATATTTATTATGTGTCCATCTATTAGTTTCCTAAAATCACTCTAAATACTCTCTGACATTGTGACAATATAGATGAAAAGATGAACTCTAAGAAAGGCCTCATACTGTATGTCTCTATTGTGTGTGTATGCACACTGTTGTAATGCATGTTTGGTTATGAATACATGTATCCTTGTAGTAACTTTGATAATATGCATTTCTTATGACACATTCACAATGCATGAATCACAGGGAACACAGCTCGGGCAAAACAGCGATGTCACGTGAACATCCTGCTTGATCAGACATTAATAACTGACTTGCACCTTCCTTTGTATCAGTCATGCAAAACAAAAATAAATATCTATTAGTATAAGTATGAAAATAATCACCACTACAGCCATACACACTCACGTACTGTATACATATTGAGATATACACAAACTTCAAACTGCACGATAGTCCACAGTTTGAACAATATCTAAAGGTACACACCAAAATAGGAAACAGAAAAAGGAGGGGGAGGGGGCAAATCAAAGATCCATAGCTGGGTCGAACGGGTAGCACAGAGCAGCACTGAACTCAGTGTAGGCACAATCTGCTTTTTACATCATCAACAACAGCCCCAAAGGAAAAAAACCACAGCTACTGAAACATATGTGACCTATACAAGCACACAAATCAACAGGTCAACAAGTAGACAGTACATTTTGACACTGCATAGAGTTAAAAACACAGTCCAGGCCAGCACTCAGCTGCACCGAGCCTCCGTCACCAAGATCTGATTCTACCTATCAGATACCACACACACACGTCTGCGCTTGTGTTCAGCTAAGGTACGTTGTTGTTATCTTGACTCTGAGACTTCCACACTTTCCCCCTGGGTGACTCAGTTGGCCTGGACTGGTTTTGGACCCACTGCAACGCCATTACAGTCGAGAATGTACTGCAGACAACCTTGAGGCGGGCGCCCGGCACTGTTTTTAGTGGGTTCACCGACAAGCTCTCCCTTCTGGCCAGTTCCCTGTAAAAGACAGAAACAACTTACTCATCCAGCAACAACTGTGATGGCTGTCCTGTAGTGACATCTAAATATAGCTAGATTATCTGAGAGTAAATTAAAGGAGAACTCCGGTACTTTTTTTACTTGGACATATTTTCCCACGTGCTCCTATCTAAGAGACTTGTGGGAACAACAGTTTTTGAAAGTGGTCAAGTATTGAGACAGAGTGCTGCAGCTGGCAGCTGTGAAACAGACTTCAGTGTAACCAGTGGATGCAGGTGCACCCTGTTAATTTACGCCCATTAAAAGTGCTTGTTTTGTAATTAGCAGGTTCAGACTGTTATTATGACTCTCCTACAACATTATGGAAAGGACACTACAGACTAATTAAATGTTTTTCTGTACCTTTCGCTCATTCTGTTCTGTTTTGCGTCTTACTTAAGGAGAAGTCTTTTTCTGAAATCCCGCAAAACTTTTCACATTGTTAACATTGTTAACATTGTCACAACTAAAAATTAAGCCATGACATTGAAAATCTTTTAGATAAGAGTAAGGGGCTGTGTCCACCATTTTAGGCCAGTATATTTTCTTATTAATGCACTGAAATGGAAGCACAGTGTATTTAGGCTGTGCTACAAATGCTAGCAGCACTCAGCGCAGAATTTATGCCTAAAGCCTCGTTGCGCTGCTGGTTGGGATTTTTTTTCTGAGCGCTGAAAGGTGAAATATGTCCAACTCTTGGGTAAAAACGCCACGCTTGTCCCTGTCACTTCAGCCATTAAATCACAGTGGAGGAGGGACAAATACTGCAGGGACACCAGCACATGTACAGGTGCTGAACAACAACAGTGGGGGAGAAATCTGTTTATATATTGTATATATGTTACGTTTCCTCTCATGAACCCACACAGACCAGCAGGTCCGTCTTCTCTCCGTGCGTACGTCAGCTTTCCCCTCATTCAAAGCAAGTACTCACCCTTGTGCTGACATGTTTACTTTAGTGGATATTCGGTATCATAGTAAACAGATGCAACCAAAGAATCTCAGCTGAAAAAACGTTGCACCTCCACAGAGCTCTAAAACATCCCACCTGGGTGTTTCCTGAGGAGCGCCTGGCATTTTCAACTGGGAGTTTTTCTTCTGGCAACAAGTTACCTCTCGTGAGATTTCAAAATGAGACTTTTCGTTACGAGACTTGGACATACAAAAACCCGGACCAGCGAAAGACACAGAAAAAAAGCCCTAATTTCTTGGTCGTGTGTTTCAGTTATGTTTGAAGACTCTCCAAACTCTCTGGTGCAACTGCATCCACTGGTTACAGTAGTAGTCTGTTGCAAAATACTGAACCAGTTTCCAAGTTGATGTTCCCCTGAGTCACTGAGACACAAAAACGTGAGATAATGGGGTCCAGGTTCAAAAATACCAGAGTTCCCCTTTAATAATACTAAACTAACTAAACTAACACAAGCCCCCTGTGTCTGATGTGCCCGTGTGTCACTTTACCTGGGATGGCTGTATGGTGGTGGGTCTCTGGGGAGCGTTAGCTTCGTTCTCTGCTGCCTGGTTCATTTTTGCCAGCACCATGTCAGCGATAAGCTGCCTGTCCTCGGCCTGGTGCTCACCCACCAGGGGCATGGCAGAGCCCACCACCTGTGCCACGTGGAGGATGGTTGTAGCAGAGAGACAGTGAGAGAGAGAGGGGAGGATTTCAGCACATATGTCACATTCATTTTGGCTGATGTACTGAAATACTTGACCTGAAGGAAAAGGTTTTAGTATGCTCCAGAAATATCATTGTAAGCTCTCAAACCGGATTATCCTAGACTCCTACCTCGGTGATGAAATCTCTGCCATCTTTCCCATGGATAGCTTTGACTGCACAAATTTCCAGACCCCCGAAAATCTCTGAGCAGGTGTCAACCCACAGCTTGTACCTGAACACAACAATCGATCACTGGCAACATAAATGAGACGCAGCAGTCTTCTTATAGGGATGCACCAATTTATCAGCCGATCAGCCAGTATTGGCCAATGTTTCGTCTGCTGTGTCACGTCAATTTTGTGCTGACTAAATGTCGCGTTGGTTATTTGCAGTTGGACTTGGACAGCAGCAGCTAGCACACCCAGCTGCTGATTCAGAGAAGAAGCCACTGACTGGACCCGACTCTAGCATGACGTATGAGGGCACGTGCCCTTTGCGTTTGTGGCTTGGTTTCACATTTGCTTTCACTCAGCGACTGTTCAGCTCTGCGTCTTACATCTTGGATGAGAGAAATACTATAGACTGAGCTGCAACAAGGCAAATATGCTTATCTTTGGAAGACAAACCATGCCTCTTACTGAGAAACAGGATATAAGATACTGTCTTTTTATCAGTAATATCTGTCGAGGAGGCTATGATGATGCTACCCACTGTACGTTTGTTTAATGGAAGCACCACGATGTTTTATTCTGTATGAAAAACACAGGAGGTGAAAGACAGCCCCATTTATGTTTATTTTTGTAAAATATTTTATTCCATTTGTGATCCCTTTTACATTTACACTTTATACATTTCTGTTTATGTTTTTATGTTTAAGTACAGCATTCCTCTCATAGAGTAGGTAGTTGTACAGCAGACTAAAAAGGCTGTTAAAGGAGTTATTTTTCAGAAAAATCTTTTTCATGTGAAAGACGGTAATGTTTGTCACGATGGCCACCATAGCTCTCCTACACGTTTGGCACACGGAGAGAAGTTTCAGTTCTGACGCCTCACAGATAGATGCCACTAAATCCTACACACTAGCCTTTAAAGGTTGTTTTTAATAATTTGTATGAATAAATAACACAGAAACTTAATAAACAACAAAAAACAACGGTATCAGCTATCAACCAATTGGTGCATCCTTATCTTATCATCACAACTGATAACAACAAACAGGTTAACACACCCAGAGCTGTTGGCTAATTATTCACATGTAACAGAATTCATTAACCTTTGGTAAACTAAGATTTGCTGCATCATTATGATATGTTTGTCTTTGCATTGGAGCGTAGGACTCACCTATCAGTCATGGCCACCTGCTCAAGCATAGCTGAGCCAGTATTGGTCTTCCAGTTACCAGATATAGATGTCCTCCTGCAGGGTGTGGAGCACACGCATTACAGCGGTTTTCTTTCTCGTTCACGCGTATAGACGAAGTAAGAAAAGTGTAACTGTACGTACATGTAGGCTTTGTAGTCAGTGCCGATCTTCTGGATTCTGATGTCGTACTTGGAGTCGATGAGAGGTTCTGTGGTGGTGTATGTCTGGGTGAGAGCCACAACGCTGGCTATGTCCTGGAACTTACTGTGATTGTCCACCTTCACCTGTACACAAACACAGACACAGACACGAGAGAACTGAGCAACACACCCAGGATTTAAAAAGGCATCTGGCACTTTTTAATTAACCTTTATTTAACCAGAAAATCCTCTTGAGATTAAACATCTCTTTTTCAAGAGTGTCCTGGCCAAGAGAGACAGCAACATAAGTTACAGACAACATAGAACAAATATACTGAATAAAAATGTACAGCTCTAAAACAAGCAATGTAAAACACAAAATAAGATTACTACTAAAAAGCCAAAAGTATGTTAATATATACTAGAAATGTGGCTGAATAAGTGCAGATGAATGCAAAACCCAGCTAAGACACACTGTGACATTTGCATATAGAAGATTGTGTACAAAAAGCCTGCAACAGTGCTTTGACTAGAGTTCTCAATTTGAACCCGAGCCCGAGCCCGAGCCGAATAAGCCCGACGGTTCGGGTCAGTTTGGGTTAAGTTAATTGGGGCGGGCTGAGTCGGGCTTGGACAGCGGAGAGAGAGAAAAGAAAAAAAAAAGTGTATCTGTCAGAAAAGCGCACTGTGTGATGGTGTGACAGCAGCACTAACACACAATGCTGCTGTCCATGGTTCTCACTTCTGAGCAGCCTGTGAGGAAGAAAATATGCATGTCTGTTAAGATTATTCCACATCCATTCATTATTCAATGTTATGTTGTTGATATTTGAAGGTTATAGTCACCATTTTTAATAAAGTGAGTTGAAGTTGAAGTAGTGTCTGCTGTGTGTGTGTGTGTGTGTGTGTGTATAAGGGGGATGATAATAGGGCTATAATAATTAAGCAAGAAGAATATGCTAATTATAAAAATAAAGAATGCTGAACTCCGTTCTGATGAAAAAAATAATAATACTAAAACAAGATACGCTGCTGTGAAGTGTGAGCGAAGTTCAGTCAGTCAGTCAGTGTTCAGGTGCAGGAAAAGTGTTGAGAGCATCTGCTGCTCATTAAATGCAGTGTCTCAGTGCTACATGATGCGCAATGGTTGCTCTCCCCCACGCTGACGTTGAAGCCTGTCTGTCTGGTAATATTATTTTGGGACATGAATGATTGGTTGACTTTAAGTGATTAAAGATACTGCATTTGAGCCAGGGAAGCCAGACTACTGAGGCGCACAGGGGGAGCATCATTTTTTCTCCCTTCCATTTAAAAAAAAACCAAAAAAAAAAACAACTCAGGTTCAGTCAGGCTCGGACCCAGTGATGTATGTGATGATGTCGGGCTGGGCCGGTTTCGGGCTTCAAGTCCCTCGAGTCATTTCAGTTTCGGGTTGAATTTTTGGGCTTGTTGAGAACTCTAGCTGTGACACAGCTAAGAGGAACCAATGAGTGCAACTTTAAATCCTTCTGTAGAAGACTCCACATATATTTTCCTAGTAAACAATGCATAGATTCACACTTTCCCTCTCAATCGTCACATATGACCCATTAGAAGTGTGTGGCGCATTTATCTGCAGAGACTCTGCCCTCTGCCTGTACTTTTTTACTTTCTTCTGCTGTGTTTGGTGTGTTACTGGGCACCACACGCAGGTGAGGTTGGGACTTTCTACCAAGGTAGCAACAGGCGCAACCAGGAGCGAGAGCAGCACGCATTCGAGAGGAAGCTACAGAGGGACAAAGCCCATTTATTTATTCAAAAACGAGTGTGAATCTGGGGATGGCTTCCACTTTCGCTGGCAATACTGTTTACAAACAGTAACCAACAATTCCTGTGTAGATACTTTAAATTGTCTCTGTACTATGTAAGAAATGTAGACAAACACCCTTTTTTTAAATGTAGGAGAACCTGCTAAAAATAGGTGAAAGACTCCTTTCACATTGCCGACATGCCTGTTTTTTTCCGTTTGCTTTGTTTTGCTGGTGTGTCACGTTCAACATCACAGATGCGGAAAACATGCATGGAGGCCACTGAAAACATCACGGTGGCCACTTCTTTTTTAAATCTGTTCCGTCTCTTTAAAACTTGTCAAAACTTGTGCCAACTTTAAATGATGTTCAAGTGTTGCTTGGATGGAAATGGATGGTATTTTGTGGCCGTGCATCTCTGTATCCCGCTGGACAGGGGGCTAAAATGAGTGCGTCCAGCCGGCTGCCGTATTTCCATCACTGCGAACTGAAGCCGATCGGAGCTGGAGCCGATAATTACCCCTGACTGCTGCGGGGTCATTTGTCCCGTGAGTGAATGCCGATTGTAATCTCATCCATTAAATACAAACGCCAGATGTTATTGTGTGTTTGTGGGGTTTTTGTGCAGTTGCAAAGACAAATAGACAAACAGCAAAAAAAACCAAGAAGAAAAATCTCTGTACCTTTCCAATACCAGAGTGGGCGTGTCCAATCTTCACAACAACAGGAAACGATGGCATGCTTACCTAAAGTAATAAGCACAGAGTCATTGCCTCATATTCTGCGTCATACTTTCATCGTACATTCAGAAACAAGCAACTGCTGTTTAGTTTAATGTCAAGCACAGGATTTCTCACCATCTCCTTGTAGTTTGGATAAAAGGTCTGCTCAATCAGAGGGAACTTCTCAGCACCCAGCTTCCTGTGGGTGTTGATAAGTTGGGCAAACTGGACACACAGAAAGGCAAATAAATCAGGCGTATTTCATAAATCATTTCCCCAAAGCACACTGCGGTTATATACTTGATCGAACGCGATGCAGACAGAGAATGGATTATTATGGTTCTTTCTCCTGCTGCATTGCTTTACAGTAAAGCTCTCCCCAGCTGCTGAGTGCCTACCACCCATGGCTTGTCACACAGGTTGTAGATGGACTCCAGCGAGTTTATGCATGGGACCCCTCCGTACTGCAGACCGATGATGAGGTTGCGAAAATCTTCATTCTGGGTCATACTGAAGGCATGTTGACGAATGAGGACGAAGTCGGGCTTGAATGACCTGGAAAATAAAATTATGGTGGAGATGTGACAAACTGTGAAGCGTTGATCACAACGTGGATGAGTCAGGCAGTCGCGGCTGTAGATGGATACACAACATTGATTAAAACTGTACTAATTTATGATTTTGGTGGATAAATCTGTCCTCTTGTGTGTGTGTGTGTGTGTGTGTGTGTATGTGTGTGTGTGTGTGTGTGTGTGTGTGTGTGTGTCTCACCTGATAACCTTGGTGCCATTTCTGAGAACCTGCATGTTAACGTTGCAGGTGCCATTAGCATGAGCCACCACGTTGATCTCATTGAATTCAGCCTGAGGAGTCGATGATGAGAGAAGCATATGAGGACACTTAAACTCCTCTACGCTGCTTTACATAAGTACGTACTTAAAATGGCTGGCGGAACGTACCTGCTCCACTTTGATGTCATAATCTCCATGTAGTTTCTTCCCCCGGAATAATTTCGCCCTGGTTAAAACAGAAACAAAGACAACGCATTCACTTTTAGTGTCACAACAGAATAAGGATTCCTCAAACAGAGATCTCCAAGTAATTACCAGTCCGAGAGTAAATCATGGGCAGCACAGAGTAGACAAATGTTCCCTTTCACGCTCTTCATACACAGCCTCTCTAACGCTTCTTCCCCTCAATCTGGCAGCGAGGATAGTGATAAAATATTACGACACTTTCCCAGGCTGCATAACAGCATGCACACAGATGCAATTACACATTTCCCACCGCCTGGTTCACTAGAAATACCATCGAGCAGGGTTAATGAAGGACAAGGCAGGGAGGTAACGTTACTTTTGTGCGCAGTGAATACACAGTTTGAGAAAATGGCTGCACCTTCAATGACTTATGATTCAGCAGTTCTTAAAACAGAGACGCTCTGGCCTTTCTGATGTGAATAAAAACGACACCTGCGGGTCCTTTAATTCTTTTTTTTTTTCCCCTCCTGGATTGGTGGTGAAGTGGAAACCTTTTGCCATGGGATTTAAGATTAAGATGGATCAGTGTCTTGTACACTTGACACCACGCAGAGATGAAAAACCGCAGAAGCCACACAACAATCGTTGGGTTTTGATTTCTTGGGCTTTTTCCTATAGTGATTTGCAGGAGTTGGGCCTAACAACATAAGCTTTGGCACTACAAACTATTGGGGTGATCTACTGTAGATCAATACTAATGGTGCCCAAAAATTTCCATCTACTTCCTCAAGCTGCTATGGAGGAGGGTTTATTCTGGTTTCCATTTCCACAGCTTCAATTTTATTCTTACAGCTACAGTTGGTGACTTTTATAAAAATAACTTTGTCATATTTGCTGCAACTGTCACTACATCCACACAGAAGTACATTATACAGATAGACCATGAAAATACATAAGGTCATTCCTCCCACTCCTTATCCCGTTAAAATATTTACTAGAAGCTACTGTGCCTGAAGGGAAACAGCCTATCAAGCTGAGGAGTCTCAAACTCAGCTGTCAATCGTGTCAATCACCGCTTGTGAACTGCTATCAAACTGTTAATCTAGGCAGCGCTGATCAAATACGAATCAAGATTCTGTTGCTATTTCTCTCCTCAAATGTTTTCAGAAACATATTTTAGCATGGGCTGATTATGAGACAATGGGCCCCTGGGCACAGATATGCAGAAGGCCCCACCACCTCTCTCCTACATAGGAGCAAGACACGCAGACTTTGTGGTGGGTTTGGCTATTTGTTTAGTCTTTAGTCATCTTTTTGTGGCTGTGTGTCTCTTTGTGGTTGTTTTGTCTCTCTTGAGATAAATTTGTGTGTAGTTGTGTGTCTTTGAGGTCCTTTGTGTCTCTGAGGTTGTCTTTTGGTTGTTTTGTGTCTCCCTGTAGTCATTTTGTGTCTTTTTGAGGTCATCCAGTGCCTTATTTAAGTCATTTTGTGTGTGTTTTAGGTCATTTATGTCTCTGAGGTAGTCTTTTGGTTGTTTTGTGTCTCCTTATAGTGGTTTTGTGTCTTTTTTGTCATCTAGTGCCTTATTTAGATTATTTTGCGTCTCTTGGAGGTCATTTTGTGTTTTATTGAGGTCCTTTGTGTCTCTGAGGTTGTCTGTTGGTTGTTTGGTGTCTCCTTGTAGCTGTTTTGTGTCTCTTTGAGGTCATTTTGTGTGCCTTTGAGGTCCTTTGTGCCACTGAGTTTGTCTTTTAGTTGTTTTATGTCTCCTTGTAGTCATTTTGTGTCTTTTTGAGGTCATCTAGTGCCTTATTTAGATCATTTTGTGTCTCTTTTAGGTCATTTTGTGTGCCTTTGAGGTCCTTTGTGTCTCTGAGGTAGTCTTTTGGTTGTCTTTTGTCTCCTTGTAGTCATTTGTGTCTTTTTGTTGTCATTTAGTGGCTTATTTAGGTAATTTGGTGTCTCTTTTAGGTCATTTGGTGTTTTATTGAGGTCATTTTGTGTCTTTTTGAGGTCCTTTGTGTCACTGGGTTTGTCTTTTGGTTGCTTTGTGTCTCCTTGTAGTCGTCTTGTGCTTTTTTGAGGTCATCTAGTACCTTATTTAGGTAATTTTTCTGCATCTTTGAGGTAATTTAGAGTCTGTTAATTTTGTGCCTTTTTTTGGTCATTTTATATCTATTCGTGGTTGTTTTGAGTCTCTTTGTCATCATTTTGCATCCCTTTGATTTTTTTTGTTTCTCTGTGTTAATTTTGAGTTAGTTCCTGGTCAGTACGAGATAATTTTGAGTGGCATTTTGCAAGTAAAGGCCAGGCAGCCTCTGACAACGCCATGTATCCATCCATCTGTGTATTTTGATGTACTAATTAATTGTAAAATAAGAAAGTTCGCTACAACCAGAGGGCAGTGCTTCATTTTTACTGTTTCCAATATGGTGGCCGCATCACAAACTTTCTCATTTTACAGCTACACTTAAATTTGTTTCTGAAAACAGTTAAAGAGGGAAATAGGCAATGCAGTTCAATCTCGATTCATATTTGATCAGCGTTGCCAAGTTTGACAGTTTGACTGCAGTTCACGAGTAGTGATTGACATGACTGACGGCTGCATTAGAGACTCCTCGGCTCTGCTTGTTTGTTTTCGTTCACCTCTAGTAATGCCATTAGAAGCGATATGAGGCGGCAGAGGAATATGATTTACTTCACAGATTATCTGCCTCATGTAATATTGTGTGGATTATATAATGACAGTTTCAGCAAATCTGACAAAAATTCATTTTTATTCAAGTCACCGCCTGCAGCTTTAAACTAAAAACCATCTACTGCAGTGTAAAACATATGCAACCGCCTATCCAAATATTATTTGTACAATGTCCATATTTCCGTATTGCTGCGTTGTTATATCTTGACGACACGCTGTGGTTGTGCTCCCTCTTTCCCTTAGTTTGCATCACCCTGCTGTCACGTACCCTGCACTCTGTGCCAATTTTGCGCGGAGGTAAAGCTGAATAATTCATTCTCAGTCTAATTGGGGCATGGGGATCTATTTGGCTGTGGAGAAAAACAAGCATTAAAATATGAATCACTGCTCCTATATATGGGAAAATGAAAAGCCCACTCTGCACTGTGATCAATGTGCTTTGCCAGTACGTACTGTAGACTGAGGCGCTGTTTCCAAAACACGACCCCTAGAAACAACACAAACACGCCTCTGATTCAATTTTGCCATTCAATTTTTTATCTCTGTCAGCATGGGAAGAGATGTGAGGAGGGAGCGTAGCGTTACGTTTGATCTACGCTATATGACATTGCAGATAGGAGCCCAGCTCTGCATACTGAGCATTGAAGCAACACGCTCAAAGCTGACGCCACCCTATAGTATGTTTATCATGATCTCTCAGCACCGGGCATTAATATGCATTAATATTCAGCTCCTCTGGTTAAATTCTAGGCTCTATCTGTGTTACCTGTTCTCTTTGTGTTAGCTCTCATCCAGAGACAAAGGACATTTATGTGACACACAAAAAAGACTCCTGCTTTGCCCTTGACTAACGTACTGGCCTTATAAGTGGAGTTAGTCTCTGGGCACTGTGCCTAACTGCTCACTGAGATGTTCACTTGGAACATTTATTTGTAAGAATCAATATGGGCGCTCTTGACTGGAATAAAAGATGAGAGGAGAAACCAAATAAGACAAAAAAATGATCTTCCTCTTCTGTGATTTCAATAGTAAGTCAACATAGACACTGAAAAATTAAGCCACTTCATTAATGGCTGCAGGTTGTCAGATTGCCAAATTACATATTGCCTTGAAATAATTCTTCATTCAGATGATTCACCCGAGAGCTCGGTTAGCAGGAGTCCGTGCTGAATTTTAATGTCTCATCACTTAGCCTGCTTAACATTCACTCTCACATGTGGGTAATGTTTGAATAAGGTCAAGCTCAAAGTACAAAGCATCCCTGTCCCTGAGTCCAGTTAAATACAGTCCCTTATGTGTCTTTCTAATTTTGCACACTAAGTGACTAAAGTAAAAGAATCTAAGCATCCTCAGATATAGACGAGAAGAAGGAGGCAGTGCAAGTCGGCCATTAGTCTGATAAGTAAGACAGTGGAACATCTGCTCCTCCTGTCACAAGAGTAATTTATAGCACAGTATTCCTGGCACAAAACAAACCTCTCTGAGTGACGGGCATCTACCAAGAAAAAATGCAGGCGGAATGACGAAGGGCTTCTGTCTCTGTATGTGCTGTGACCCTGACAATCAGCATGATTTTATCAGCGCATGTTTTATCCTACAGTCAATTATTCTGCTTAACACAAACTGTTACACAACAGAGCCCTTGTTCAAACACACATCCATAGCTGTGATTTATAGTGAGGACGCTAGGGACATGTCCCCAGATCACTTTTGGAAATGGCTGATTTTGCCCCCAACACTTTTTAAAAGCAGAATTTCTTAAAAATATTTTGAAAAATAGCTTTCACCAAGAAATTTTAGCTAACAAATAAGAATGCCTTAAACATATTTAACGTTATTTAAGAGCCTTACTGCATTACATTCCATTATATTTTGATATTTTGAATTGTAACCTGCTGCTATAGACTGTACAAAATAATAAACGTAGCTACTGTGATGTCAGCCATTGGTTTGTGGATTCCCGTTATGAAGCTTTGAATTTGGCATTTCGGACACCGCCATCTTGATTTTTTGGAGACAGAAGTGACCAAATTTGGACATGAGGGAGGACTATGGAGGAGCAAGGAGTGGATCTGACCTATAGACTGTGGTGACGCCTCGTGAAGAGTCATTCAGGCAAAGTGGCCCGCCTTTAATTACACATTATGTTATGTCTTATCAAAATTTAAACGGTTGAGTTATATGAAAATTCACCTCCTGCACAACGGGGAAATTAACTATAGATGTACCAAGGTGTAAACATGTTTATTTCTGCTTTAAATTTGGGCATTTTAACAATTTAAAATTGGTGTCTGCAAGGATTGACTCACTTTTGGAGCCAGCCTCAAATAGCTGTTTTTTTGGCACTTTAATGTCAGCTTCATTTTTCTGCTCTGAGGTCGCTGCTTGCCTACTGCCTGTATTTTATGTTTTCCTTTACATAAATAAAGACGTTTCCACCATAAGTTGTTGCATGAAAATTCACCAGAATGCAAGAAATTAGGCATTTGACGTTCCTGCATAAAACTCATTCATATGTCTCCGCACCATAGACTGTATAGAAAGATGGACAACAGGACAGCTCCCCAAAAGTGAAGCTCAAACATCTCAATCACCCCCTGGTGGCTGGCTGCAGTACAGGTCATAAAACCTGTCCTCTCCATGTTAGTGGAATTCTGTCATTTAAGGTAGTTCTCTGCTGTATGTTCAAGTGTTCGTTTTTCTGATAAGTTTGGATTTAATTAGTTATTTAATGCTATTAAACTGGGAATTTGACAACATGACTGACAACTGTGTGAGCCAATTGGTGGGCTCTCATTCAGGTGAGCTGCTCACAATTGGTCTGACAGGTGTATGGGCAGGAAACTTCATACTGCACAGACTCTAGCTCCAAATGTTTCACTAGTGCAAGATGGCAGCAGCCGTATCTGTGATATTTTGGCTTCACTTCTGCACAGTGGGGGGAAGTGAGGACTCGTCGTCCATCTTTATATACAGTCTATGGTCCCCACCAATGTTGAAATGAAAACTACGCCCATGGTAGTAGCCTAAACTATGCTCTTTTAATGCACTGTTTTCCCCCAACCCATCATAATTATCCACTCTGACCTCATACTGTCTCTCCATTACATGGCATTAAATTGCATATGTTGAAGACAGTTTAAAAGAATATTTTTCATCTGACCCTTATGTTCTCTCCACTTTTCAACACAACAAAAACATCCCAAACACTATAATATTCCTCATTTGCTGCTGGATATGAGCCCATTTGCAAACACTTTGAATGAGAAAAAATATTTTTATGACTACAGAATCCAGGTAATGGTCAGCAATTTTCCTACAACACCCAGAAGTCATTGTAATTTCCCTGTGTGTGCGTCTGTGTGTGTGAGCGCACGGTATATATATAGATCATCTGGGATTTGACTCGTTTGATCTGAAAAATAGATGTTGATGGCTGAGCCTTCTGCCAGATGCAATTAGTCTGAAGGACTCTTTCCTGATTTCATTCGGCGTGTCTTGGGGCCACCGCTACTCATCACTCTGGCTTTCGTTTGCGGCAGCAGGCAGAAGAAATTCTTAAAAACAGCCCATCACACAATGAGATACGGCACATAAACAAGCCGTCAGACACAAGGTGTGCCAACATTTCGGAGAATATCAGGTATCAGCAAAACCTGCATGAGACATTTCATCTTCTCATAGCTTGCCAACAGCCATATTTTTTATGGTTTTCATCCAGCCGCTGTGAGAGCTGAATACAAAGCATGCAGTGATTTTCACACGTCAGGACTTTTCTGTAGCTTTCTCCTCGTAGTCATTTGGGATATTTGTTTCTTTATGTTATAGGTAATAGTCCGAACAGAGTACCATTACTACAGTATCAGCACTATATACACAGCTACAGGACACAGAACACCGGATGAAGCAGACCTCTATGACACTGAGTAAACCAAGATTGATGTGTACCGCCATGACTTACAACCACTGGGTGAAAGGTCGCATGAAAGCAACCACAACACACCAAACCTAGTGAAAAAAAACATGTAGAGCTCCCCTCTCAGTGATATTGAGCAGCCATGAAAAATAGATGCAGCACTCAGACAGTGGAAGCCTTCTGAATGAAGTATTTTAGCTGATTCTCCCTGGTGGACGTGTGCCAGATATATGAAGCAAGAAACCATTAAGAGCGATACTAATCTGCTGAGCTCATCAACACAGTGGACTAACATTATAATGAGTAAACTGCATATGGCAACAGAAACAATGTCAGAGCAGGAAATCACTAAACGTTTGTTTCACATAGGGAAGGAACTTCTTCATATCGGATATTGTTAAAAAGCGACAGCGAGAGTGATGGAGTGTGAAACATTATCTCAGCCCAACCTACTCAATATTCTCAATTACAACGACCTTTGATGAACGGCATGGTTTTAGTTTAATGTATTAGACTGTGTTCGTCTGCCAAAACTGCAGAGCAGTGTCAGTGTATTGGCACATCCGACTAGAATCTTATTCTTGAACAAGCAGCCTCCTTTCTCCTCATAAGAAATGTGGAACAAGTGAATGCATACGGCTGGCATCCATCCCGCAGACAGCGGTCTGATCTTATTAAAATTGATCAACGCTTCTGTTATATAAATGGCTAGTCCTGCACACACAAACAGGATGATTGGTTACTGCAAGGCCTCCTGAATTAGCCAAGCCGATATCCTAATATTTGTGTGATTCGGTTTGTTTGAAGGGTAACTTCCTCTGGAGATTTGATTAAATGCAGAGGTGAGTGTATCTTCATCAGCGTGAAATGAAATCAGGCAACCGTGGCCATCAGATACAGACGACATATTAACCTTTACGCGACACTCATATATACAACATGAAACCCTGTATAGATGGATCTCAAATGCGATGGCAATCTAGTCTAGTCTCATGGCTCTACTGTTCACAGAAATTAATTAGATATTTTTACTGAGTGAAAATCAGATCCAACAAATACTGGGATTCTCAAAAGAAGAAGGGGGACGTAGATTTAATTCTGATTTTATTTCCATGCCTCAGGAAAGCCCAAGAAGTCCACAGAGAGTCAGCATACCTTCCAGTGTGAAAGCAGCCTCTTTGCACTGTATATTAAGATATCACTTAGATAGAATTGTGCACATTTGAGCAAAATATTATCGAAATCCAATGAAGTCAAATGCAATATCCAAATTGCAGAAGCTGCCATTTTTGACAAAGTTAAAATGCATCACAACATGTCATAAATGAAGCATTGTGGTGCTACAGAGATGATTCAGCCTACAAATCATATCCCAGATGTGAGGAAACATGCTTGTTAGGTACAGACCCCAGAAAAAATGACATCATCATCTTTTTTTAGTGAAAATTAAATGCAAAAATTACCATTTCCATTAAAATCTTGACTCAGTAACTGTCCAATTAATCACAATATGACTTTTCGCACATTGTGCAGCCCTGGTGCAAATACATGGGGCATCCACTATAGTATCCAGCTGCACAGCTCTGGCACACACACTGCTGTGGAAAATATGTTAGCTGTGTAAACAAATGTTCATTATGTGATGACAGAATTACCATATTCTACAGTTGTCGACGAGATATTGGTGTCTACGCAAAATAAGTTTCCCCTAAATCCATGTGCACACTCGTTTAGAGCAGTTTGAATCCGTACCACAGATGACTGACACGGATGCTTGTTTTAAGCTACCTCTGAGTAACATCCCTGAGGACGCTGACTGTCAGTGCAGCGGCTTAAGTGCCTTAACGTAAGCCCGCTCTTAACATTAATGACACAATGGTCCTTTCTCCCAGCAGACGGAGAAATATAGCCATGAGGGTGATGTTATTTAATTTTTCTTGCTTACCTTTCCACTGCAAGCCACTTGTATGATTAACCAAAGGAAGCCAATGCACCACGCGCTGCAGTTAGGTACATGAATCGTTCCCCATGTCAGTGCAGGGCATGTCATGTGATCTCCTATCAGTGGGCAGGGGGAAACCCCATTGATGGAGGGAAAGCACTGCAGTAATAAGACTACTTGCATTTCCCAAATTCTGCACAACCTGTGGAACATCTGTTTTTAACAAATGTCACATTATAAGGCACTACTATCAGTGATTTTAGATAATGGACCTTTTTGTTTTGGCAGGCAGCTGTAATAAAACTGACATGCTATTGTTTCATAAAACCAAATGCAACAGAAAAAAACACATCTCACAACAGAGATAAAACAGAGGACAATAAAAAGCATCTATCTTGGTGTAATGTCACTACTGCTGAGAATCAATGGACCGTATTTGCTTAACTATCGGCTGCCTCTTTGTGTTATCTTAACACTGGCATGCTGTACCATCAATCCACAGCAGCAGTGCCCATTCACATCTGCAGGGTGCATGATGCATATGTTGTTTCAGTGGTTTTTAACCCTTACCTGACTACTACATGGAAAGGAGTCATGTGGAGAGAATGGGCATTAATGTTGAGCAAACAAACAAATCACAGCCCATAAATGATTTTAAAATGAATGATATGACTGTGTAGAGCATTGTCTTACCACTCCTGCTGTGGTTCATCAATCACAAGGAGAATCTTGAACTTCTTGGGTGTCGTGACTTGGGTCTGCTCCACTAGCCCTGCTGAGGCAGCTGTCTGCTTAACAACGTTGGTGATGGAGCTGAAGAAGCCCGCTCCGGAGGACTGAGATGGCTGGGGTTTCCTCTCTGGAGCAGGGGAAGTGGCTGGAGGTGTAGGCCCGGTTGTAGGAGACTTGGCAGGGGTGGTGGAGGCAGGTGGAGGAGGCTGAGCATTGTCAGGCCTCTGGAGGTCTGTCATGTAGCCATTGGGCAGGTTGGAGATGAACGTGCTGTCCGAGAGGCGCCGGCGCAAATAATTCATGGCTGCAGCTGAGAGAAAAGAAGAGTCAACAAGCACCGGGTGTGGAGAATGATTCTGCAGAGGAGCCCCTGTTCTCTGTGCACAGCTGATAATGGCTGAGCTCTCAGTGCAAACTCACAGCGAATGTATTCCCTCCCAGTTCAGCGGAGCATCCTCAGAACTCCCCCTCACTGGCGGTGACGCTACACCCTCCCTCAACCAATCCCATTACTCTGTGCTTTCCTCAACCATTGCAAATGATGCTCCGTCTGTGCCTCTCCTTCCTCCTCTCCTCCTCTCGTCCTCTCCTCTCTCCTCTCTCCACTCTCCCCGGCGTGCCTGCCTTCCCTACCCCTCCCCCATTTTCCTACTGCCTCACAGGCGTCATGCTTCTTTGAACCACAGCATTTAAAATAGAGGGGTTTCCAGTGTAAGTGCAGGAGGGTACACTGCATCATAATCATCTTCCTCTGGCTCCCTCGTTTCCTTGTGGGTTTTTTTGCCCCCTGTCCATGCACGGCATTTCTGTGTGTGTGAAAAGCAGCCATGAAATCTAAAATGGCTGTTTGGACTAGTGGGCAATGTTAAATGAGAGGAGAAGCGTCAGCAGCAGTCCCCTGAGACACAAATGCATGCAATAAACCCTCTCTGCTAATTGATTCATCAATCCTTATACACCTTCGGCTTTTCCTTATTACAGTGTCATAAAAAAAATGTTTTACCTCACTGTTTTATTTGACATAAAACTTACAGCACTTGTCCGCTATGGCACAGTTTATCATTATGAGCAATTACATTTTCATATGCACACTTATGCACACATAAAATCTAAATACTAATGACAGCATAAAAACACAGCTTACAATATTTTTCTTTACTGATATATGTGCAGATACTTTTGCAAACTTAATAACTAATTTTGCAAAAAAAAAAAAATAGTATGACAAAAGAAATAACTGCCCCTCACATTCCTCCTATGACACATAGCCAGCTCTAACATATTTTACAAGGAATACAGAAGGAATTTAAGCTGTATGACTGCAAACCACCATGTCTCCAATATAATAAAGTGAATATAAAACAGATCAATAAATCAATAAGTCACCAATAACTCACTCACCACACATCTGGTTAACTGGTTGCACAATTCAATCTGAAACACACAAACATAGACTGTTAAATAAAAAACAATCTAAGGATTTATACATATTATTGCTAAAGCAAATCCTCGCGTTGATATTTTTCTATCATAAAAAGATAAAACTAAAAATACTAGTTGACTGGTGCCATCATGATATTGACGTCTTACTCGGTCACTGATCTTTGAGCACACTCCCTCGGCCGTCAAATTTAAAATGCACTGACAGGTGCAGGCAGGTCACCGTCTAGTGCTGCACTTGGATAATAGCTGATTAGATAGAATATGGTAAATATAGCTTCAGGCTATTTACATAAAAGAACACAAGCCGTGTAACATTATACAATAGAATAAATTTTGCATGAACTGGTTGATACCTTAAATTGTTAACCAAACTGTTTTTGTTCCATAGCTAGGATGCATAAATTGGCAACAAAATACATCCTTAAATTTGTTTCATCATTTTAAATTTGAAGCAACTAGGGTCTAAATTAATGTTTCATCCAAATGTCCAAATAAGCTCTCCTGCTATTTATTTTACACCTGTTTGTCTGTATGTATATTTGTGTAACATCACAGATTTGGGGATGGAGCAAACTCCCCTGTTTCCAGCAAATTGAGCAGAAGGAGGATTGGCTATCAAACACAAAAATAATCCTTAAAAAAAGTTGAGCTTCACATGAATAGTGGAGTTCTGTTGAATCCATGACAGTGACAAACTCCAGCTCTAATTATAGCTTGTATGTTTGTACATTATTATTGTCATTCTGTTCCTCCATATTGTAATTTTACTGCCACTCTAGTTGCTCTTTATATCCAAAATCTGTTGCATAACTATTGTATGTATTCCTGTTAAAGGGTGTGTTTTTTATAATTGAAATATTATAATCTAATGACAGTAGGTGCTGTATGTTGCACAGATTATAAAGCAATTTAAGGCAAATTTGCACAATGTGTGTTGTACTCTTTATAATGTACAGTGCAATGTGAAGAACAGCCTGGTGAAGATAAAGTGCAAGCCTTTTTGACTGAATATCCATGGAAACAGGACCTGGTGTCTCATTTCCTTTTTGAATACTGGTCATGAGAGACAGTGATCAGGACAGGCTAAAATTATACTTGGATATTGGCTAGTGAAAAGCTGCACCGTGCACTGAGTCTTATGCACAGATACTAGGGTGACATCAGCTGGTAGAGGTGGTGTAGTGAACATCAAAACCAAACCACTCTGCCTGAATAGTAGAGCAAGGTAAATGTCTATAGATGAGATGATCCAGCAGTGATGGTGCTGAGGTGTTTGCAGATTATCAATAGACATTTGTGTTATTTACAGGTGCTCAGATAAAGGTTTCTATTTGCAATTAATGTCATTTTAAAATAAAAAAAAAACATGCTTTGTGTGTGGCTCTGGAGTTAGAGGCAAAGTTTTGTTATGATAAAGTTAAATATTTCACTTTATTTTACTTTTGTGTGAGCTAAAGCACCTGTCGACTTTTGCAGAGCTGTGTAGCTAATGCAAGTATTACTTGTTGCATTGATGATAGGCAGTCCATGCAGTGATTCACAGCAAACACAATATTTAAACAGAATAATGCACCTTTGAGCTGAATATCATCCCAAGTTTTGGTGTCGTGCAGATCCACAAACATGGTAACTTCACCCTCATTCGCCTCTTCTCCGCTAGGGCCGCTCACCACTCTTTTGTTTGCAGACTGGTGCGGTTGGAAACTGCGTGAAGGCAGTAGAAAGGCGAGCTGGGCTAGCCATGGTGGTGTTTTGGCTGTGAAGCTAGTTTTGTTGATGAAGTAAGTAACTAACTTTTAACGTCATGTTAACATAAGTTTGGAATTTTAATCTTGGAAATAACCCGGCTGAACGTAACGTAAAGTAAGTTGTAACTGACGGGCTCGGTGTAACGTTAGTTAAACGTTTATTCGGTTTTGCTAGTTGCTAACTAACTACAAAGTTTGAGTACTAGCTTAGCTGTTAATGGCTAACGTTAGTAGCCGAAGTTAGCTGGCTAGTGTGTTAGCACTCGCAACTACGATAACAGTTAGCTAAGTACTGTAACAATATGTTTACAACTATTATATTATTAACTATCATAATTTGCTATCGTAACTGACTTATCTAACCAATTTGTGTAGCCGTAAATGCTAGCCCAACTAAAGCTAGGCTAACACTGTTGAAGTTAGATGAACGTTTGTAGCTAATGGCTAGCCTTGGAGTCGTTTACGTCAACGTCAGGGTACTTATCGTTAGCCAGCTAACTGCTAACGTCAAGGCAACACTTGCTATCTCAATTAAAGTGCCATAAATGTAAGTCAATTTACATTGCAGTTTACAATCTGATTTTTTTAAATGTTCTCTTTTTCAGGATTTAACTTTTGTTGCCTTCGCTGGTGTGTCTTGCTAACATCGATGTTAGCAACTAGCCTGCCCGTGTAAATGCTATTCACTAGAATGGACCTGTTGAACTCTCAGTTCCTGGACAAGATGAACAATAACATCGGGAGACTGCACTATGAAGGTTAGTTATATGCTTTGTGCCTTTTAATGTGTCTTTATGTCGTACATTTACCTTAATTGTTGAACGAACATTGTGTGGTTTCCTTAATTAAGTTACCAACACGAATTGCTCAATATGTTTTGGTTTGCTGAGTGACGTCTACTTTTATCGACCTTATGGTTGGTGCCAAGCACTTAAGTGTACGGCAATTTTGGTGCAAAAATCTCGGCGAAGTCAACTTCGGATAAAGTGAACACTGGTTTGTGTGTTTACTTGAGTAGAGATAATGAGACTAGACTCTCTGTAACGTTGCACTTTTAATACCGGAAATACTGTCAAAAATGACATTAACTGTACTGTCCTCCAAACTCACCCATATCGCATGGTAAAATCTGCACATAGCCATAAGATGCACCCACAGATTTTGTACAAGGCCCAGAAAAATAACAGCAAACACTACAGATGTTACCTAATTTGATGCATCAAGGTCAGACGTTACACTGTTTACACTTTTTGTGCGTACAAAGAGGACCCTAGAGATCTTTACAATGAAGTAAACACAGTCTCCTCAGGGAAATGTCTTGGCCATAACAGTGTGTGCACTAGTTTTTAGGATGTGATTTTTATTCCAGAAGTAAATGAGTCCCTTGTTCATTGCATAATTGACCTTTTTGATTCAGAGTTGCTTTCAGAAATCAATTCCATCTTTGAAGACTAAAAGTCCTCCTCTTTCCAAATTTGTGATCCAAGTTTGATAATCAGGATCACAGTTTAGTAGTCATCTCCTAATTTTTAGGGTGGCATTTAAGTAAAATATGCCTAACTGAACACAATGCTTAACTGATACTATAGATCTGGTTAACCAGTAATTTCTTGAAAGCATACCCTGGCCAAGTTACATCAAACTGTTTATGTTCAGTGTGGAGTCATGTACTCGTTGCTGGAACTCAAATTTAATTTGATTGTTTGTACTGCTGATTCCTTTTCCACAGATGAGTCCAGGACACCCTCCCTGCCCACTGCCATGTCCAGCATGACCGGGCCTCCTTCACACTGCCCAAGCAAACGGAAGTATGGGGAAGAACAAATGGACGACCGGATCAACTGTGATGATGACCACATGACCAAAATGAGCAGATTGTTTGCCACTCAGCTGTAAGTACCTTTCAAAAAAGAAACATAAATCATTATCCTGTGTTAATCATTGAATTGACCATTGAATTTTGTTACATAGAGCTCAACAGATACTTTTCTCATCATCATACCCCCAAATAGACAAAATATAATGAAGCTTGAACTGTTGTCTATACATGTTTTCTTACAGCACATCATCTGAATTGTTTTTCATTTTGCATTTATGTAGTTAACCAAAGTGAGCCACCCTTTCTGCGGTAGTTCAAAGACAAGCCATGTATCTGGTGTTCCTGTAGCAAACTGTATCACAATGTCAAAAACACACCAGAACTCAGATTTATGTATTTATGTTTTACTGTGTGGGAGCTTTAAATCTCAAACGTATCGACATACTTATGATAGCTCAAGGTAATTTAACAAATTTAAAAAAATAACAATGTGTTTTATTATTTGAGAGAACTGCTATGTTTTTTTTATTTCCCCAAAGCCAAACATTTG